ACCGCACGATGTCAACCCCGTCGACGGCGACCGTCAAATACCGATTCAAAACGTTCAATCCGCTATTTTTTTTATTAAAATTTTTTATTTGAAATGCGTACACTTGCCCAGGTAGCAAAATAACAATATTATAACATTATAATAAAGTTACAAACGTAATAAGTAATATTACACAATGACTATTAATTGAATATAAATACATTACAATAATATAATTGTATTAATATAGTATTATTATTTGGCAAGTTTGAAATTATTATAATAACATTTCAAATATATCATTTTTATAATAATATAAAAAAAATAATATTTTTTAACTTCAAATATAATGTTTTTATAATAATATAAAAAAATCATATTAATATATTTTTTAAACATTATTATATCTAGACACGCGGTAGCGTGTCAAGCCAAGTTCTAGCTAACAGAACTGGCGAGCAGCACCGTGTGTAATATTACACGAACCATTTGGAGCCACTTTTGACCCCCTCATAACTCAAAAACTATTCCACATAAACATGTCAAATTTGGCTCATATATTGAGACTAACGAGATACATATGTGCTCTAAATTTCATAAACACACTTTAAACCGTTATTTAGATATTAACGTCCGAAAATCGTCATTTTTATCACTGACTTACCTATAGATCAAAATTCTAACCCAGTTCCAGATGACCTAGAAAGTTCAAATTTGGCATACAGATAGGTAGTTAGGTAAATACAAAGGAAAAAATCAGAAACTTGAAAATTTTTAATTTTAAATTTTTTAATCAATTGATTTTATTATAGTTTTGCAATTATTTTATCTATTATGTTTAATTTTTCAATTTATTAATGAATTGCCTCTAATTTAATGTAATGTTGACTTAAATAACCTTTCCCGTATCGCCGCTCCAAAAATACGACTAGCCGAATATGTGTCGATATTGTCGACCCGCGCGCAGCAACATACTTTTTTTTCTATCTATGTATGTAATTAATATTATTTTTTTTAAATATTACAATTAAAATAATTAAATAATTATTCTTACAAATTATGAATTATCCACCCAACAGTAGAAACTACAGTCAATAAAATTATGATAATTAAAATTATACTCAAAAAGAGTTAAAATAATTGTATATTAATTTTACATATATTTTATAATAAATATTATTATTAATATTAGTAACTGAATTATATTCTATAGTAATAAACTTTATTTATAGAATACGTCATGGCTAGGTTAGGTTAGGTTATAATAATTTACATACAAAAAGTAATGATATCCCACCAAAAACATATATGTAAAATGAGAGCCAAGTTCAATACTATAATATATGCCTTGGTTGTTGACTTCAACGACAAAAGAAGTGAGATCTAAATGGGTGCCAAGTTAGGATAATATATTGAAGCCTAAGGTCTGACTTGGCTACGAATTATATATTATAGCATTTGCAAGTTCTAAAGCTTTGAGTTCTTATTTTATTCTTCGGAAAATCATCTTCACTCTTCCATTACTGTTTTAGTAGGTACTTATAATAATAATTCGTATATGAAAAGTAGCCAAGTCACACCTTAGGCTTCAATATATTATCCTAACTTGGCACCCATTTAGATCTCACTTCTTTTGTCGTTGAAGTCAACAACCAAGGCATATATTATAGTATTGAACTTGGCTCTCATTTTACATATATGTTTTTGGTGGGATTAATAATATACATATAGATCCTATTATATCAAATATTTTATAATAATCACCAAAATAAAATCGCCGCTCATAATATTTTCTTCATATTTGAATTAGCATAATAAATTTTGATAATTTAATTACTAAATTTACATTAACTGATTGCCTTAAAAAGAACTTTGAATAGAAATATTTAGTATATAATTGTTTAGTATTAGAGGTGCCAATATAAACTATATTAATAGTATTGATTAAAAAATATAGTAGATATACTGGGTGATTCTTTTATCAAACACTCATCATTTCAAAAAGTGTAAATTTTTTGAAGATATTTTTTTACATAGTTTCAAGTCGCTTATAAAACAACGTTTTTATTAAAAAATTATATTTTTAATTATTTTTTATCCTTATAATTTTTTAAGTTTTTTACTTTTTTGAATGACAACATAGGGTTTTAATTTTATATTCTAAAGTAGAATATTTTTCTTAGTATTTTGATACATGAAAATTCAATTTGGGGCGAGTAGTTTATGAGTTATAAGTATTTAAAGTTTAAACGAGCGGAGTGTTGTGGTTCGGGGTTACCCCGCGAAATGTTTGTCCACTTCACCGCTCGTCTAAACTTTAAATACTTATAACTCATAAACTACTCGCCCCAAATTCAATTTTCATGTATCAAAATACTAAGAAAAATATTCTACTTTAGAATATAAAATTAAAACCCTATGTTGTCATTCAAAAAAGTAAAAAACTTAAAAAATTATAAGGATAAAAAATAATTAAAAATATAATTTTTTAATAAAACGTTGTTTTATAAGCGACTTGAAACTATGTAAAAAAATATCTTCAAAAAAATTTATACTTTTTGAAATAATGAGAGTTGTTTGATAAAAGAATCACCCAGTATATCTTAACTTGTTGTTCAGTATAAATATCAGTTTTCCATATATTTTTGTATGTAATTATTCAATAATTTAGAATAAATAAATTCAACAAAATTTCAAATTTTTTAACTAATAATTCCTTTTATTTTAGGTAGGTATTTCTTATTACCATTTCATATATTCATTTTTTAAACATAATTTATTATTGCCTTTGTTAGATTAAAAATTAATACAAAAAAAATAAAACAGGTATATTAATGCATTATTTTTTTTTCCTGAAAGCTGCTCCGGCTAAATATATTTTTATAGGCGCTTCTATGTCCGAATTAGAGATGTCTTGAAAATGTTTGATTTTTCTTATAGCATCTAAAAAAATTCAATACAGATTATTATTTTAATAAACTAACTTAGACATCATATTATGCTATCAGAGAAGTAGATATAATTTAACAGGGGGTAACCCACTAACGAAGTAGTTGTATACATATATTGTGGACCTACTTAGAAGTATGTGTTAGTTATATATCCTTTTTTTGTACACTATAATAATACTTCTATTTGCTTATAATCCTTCATTGCACTTCTGTGTGTTATATAACAGAAATGCAAAGAAATATTAGAAGTAATTAGAAGTATTAGTGTAAAATAAAGGAGTTGTTTAACCATTGGTGTGCAAAAAACCACTTGTTCAAGGTATCCACAAATTAAAACTCATTTGGTAGGAGTGCAATCTACAATCTACTTAACATAACCAACAATAAGAGTTTTTTATTTTTATTCAGGTTATGCATAGTAAAGTATTTATTGAATACTATAGTACAAACATTTGTTATCTTTCCCACAAAAATAATTTCTTATATGGATATATTTTAGTAGATTAGATAGGCATAATATTATAATATTAAATTTCTAGTTTATATAAAACAATTAATATTTGTTAAATTATTAATTGAGATTGTGAATAGTTTGAAAATTTTGTAATCATGTAAAGTAAAGTAAGTATGTAGACTGTGCCTTATGAGAAAATTTTTTATTATTGTAATTTAGGAAATTAGAAAAAATGCAGTCACTCTTATGTGATCTACATACTAATTAAAAATAGATTAACTTTTTTTTAATTAGATTTGATTTAATTTGTTTTCTATCTAACTTAACGAGTTAAATTTAAGATTTATTAACTGTTAACTTCTATCTCATTGATCTTGTTTTCTCTTATTAATTATTTTTATTATGCTTGTCCGCCTTTGGAAATATATAATAAATAACCTCACATAGTAATTTCTTATTTTTTTTATTACCAAATATAATAGCACATGAAGCTAATGAAGAAAATATCCTTTTTTTCTTCTGACCAACATAACTAAATATTTGCAAAAGTTCATCGTCGAAAACTGTTCTTAACATTTGTCTTATTGTTGATGTTAATGATTTTTTTGCCAATCGTTTGAGACCATGAACCTGGAAGAATAAAATTAATATAGCTGATTTATTATTATAATTTTTTTATTTGAAAACAAATTATAGGGAAATCATACAAAATTTTAAATAAGAAATATTTAAAGTGTTATGATCAAACTTATTCTTTCAAAAACTATTTTTAAATAGTACTTACAACATTTAATCTGAAAGACTTGTTTAATAATTTTTCTTCAAAATTATTTAGTTCCTCTTCGTTATGTAGTGGTAGTAACAAACAATAATCATTATCATCATTAATGTTTGAATTTTCATGACTATTACTAGAAATGCTACCCATATTTATAATAGTTTCAGTTAAAATATTGTCTATTCGTGTTTGATTATGTCCAATGTTCTCAACATCATATTTAATTTTCATAACTACGCTTAATATTTTTTTCAATGTTTCTATGTCAACAAAGATAAACAATGAAATGGTTTTTCAAGAAATGTATAAGAATAAAAGAGATTAATATAATAATTACCATCAGAAATTGATTCACGTTGAGTAGCATTAAAAGTTGGTTTGTTTTTATTTATTATACCATGAAATGGTAATATTATATGACTATAATATATCACTTTTAAAATTATCATTTTAATTAATTTGAATAAGTTTTAAAAACATTTTAGAAACTAATTAATTTTGAAACTTTGTTTGGAATGTAAGTACATTTTGTGTTTTTTTTACCTGAATCAAGTATCCTGGAACTTTTACTAATAGGTTGATTTACTTCAATGATTTCAAATTGGTTAGAATCTATCGGAGTGACTTTAAATGGCGATGCACTTGTATGTAGAACAGTTGACTTTTGCTTTGTTCCTAATAAAAAATATAAATATAATATAATGTATAGACTATAGAGTATATATTAGGCAAATAATCTAGTATAGTTTATTACCATTAGTATTAGAAAAATCTTTTAAACTAGTTGAAGAGTTAAAAATATCTGGTGAATCAGGAATATCATTCTGGCTATTATTTCTTAAACCACAAAAATCATCTGAAAAATCTGAAAAAAAGAAATAAAAGATATTATTTTATACTATGGCATATCGGTATATACAGTATTAACTATAATAATAATAATAATTAGTAATAATTTATTATTATTATTAACATATAGTATTACCTATTATTATTGTTATTATTATTATTAATACATAGTATTAACTATTATTATTATTATTAATATATAGTATTATTATATAACATAATTAGTATTTACACTATCCTAATTCTCATGTCAAAATTATATTTGAGTTTTTATTAAAATATAATCATTATTATTTTTAGAACAATACCCTGACTAGAAGAAGTTGTATCAAATAATCTTCTTTTAACTGGAATTTTTGAACTCATAATTTGACAATTGTGTAATGATTCATTGTCATTAGCAGATTTTGATAGATTACCTATGGAAAAATGTTTATAATTTAAAGCTAAATTTAATTAGTATTCATACTATCTTAATTCTATTGGCATAATTATAATAAGTTTTTATTAAAATACAGTCATATTTTTTTTAGAACAATACCCTGACTGGAAGAAGTTGCAGCCAATAATCTTTTTTTAACTGGAATTTGAGAACTCATAATTTGACAATTGTGTAATGATTCATAATCATTAGCAGATTTTGATAAATTACCTATGGATAAAAGTTTATTATTAATAGTTAATTTAGTAACCCTAAAATGTTATAATTTTAAAATGTATACCTTCGTTTAACAATTCATTAAAAATAGGTGGATCTTGAACCAATACTTTTTTTCTTCTAATCTTGGTCTGAATTTCATCACTAGTTGAAAGATCATCTGTTACCTCAGCTTTTTTAACTTTTAATTTAGCTTCAAAATAACTGGCTATAGTAAAATACAAAAATCAATTGATAACCACCCTCAAAAAATATTTTATCCATTAAATAGGTAAATAACTTGAAATTACCAATGCCTTTTTTTAACGTTCTAACCCACGCCACGGTACTCTTCTCTGACAATCGATCGACTCCAAACTTTTTGCAACCTAGATATCTCGTTTAATATTCGTCCTAGCCGTTTCCGACCTCAGTCCGTTTACGTTTTATATTTGTTTTTCAATCAGATTTGAAAGGTTCAAAGCCCTTCGGTCGAAAACTCGACAAGTTGACATCCGAAAAAGCTCGAAAATCTCACGGGGACACGGTTCGAGAATTTCGGGATTGAAGCAATCAAACCTCTTTTATCGCGTCGCCGGTGTCGGGTTTGAATTCGGGCGGTCCACGTCCGCCGGATTCCGTTTTCAGATGTCCGGTTATCTGTAATGGGATTACGTAATATCATGTATTTGCTCATAAAAACAACCAGGAATGCGACCACACCCAAAAGTGTTTTCGACTAAGAATACCACTTTCATAGTCGTGAGGTCCATATCAAGGACGACTGTACATGCGCCGCTCACTTCAAAGGACGCCGCCACCATATATATAGGGGACAGCGAGACAGCCTGAGTAGATGTATCCAGAGACGAGAACAACACACGACTCGCTTAGCCGCCCAGCCATCACACACAACTTACACGGAGATTATCAATTTTGGAACGAGCTACAATTCGCTACAATCAACACTACTATTCTGCTTATTTTGTCTGGTTTAATATAATACATTTGATTACTAAACTAATTTGACTATTATTATTTATCAAAGTACATCAGCTTTTGGATCCCTGAAGGGCCGCATGTAACACTGGCGCAGTCGGTACTGGATTCCACAAAGGAGGCAACCGTCAAAGGCTACTGTCAACAACGAGGAATTGATCACTCTTCTGCGAAGACAACTCTAGGAGGAACCAACAAAAACAAATAAGTCACATCGCAGTACCAACAAATCCATCAGCAGCATCATCAACATCGGCAACATGTCATCATCAGCCATGAACGCAGCATTATTGTGAGTGAATAGTTATTTGTTACATAGACGTATGCAACATAATTAAGACATATTAAGATAAATCTAGGTAATTGATTATAAATGTAATGGTGTAAACCGTTTTAAATTTTATTGAGGGCATATTTTATTGATTATTATTGAAGTTTTATTGAATTTATTCAGGGCATATTGATTATTTGAAGTTTTATTATTGAGGGCATGTTTTTATTGAAGTTATTATTGATTATTATTTATTGAGGGAATTTTTATTATTGAAGTATTATTGAAGTTTATTGAATTTATTAGAGGGCATATTATTGAAGTTATTATTGTATTTATAGGGCATTATTGAATTTTATTGAGTATTATTATGATTATTAACGTATTAAATAGGCAGCTAAGTTAATTTATGGACAGCGAAGATACATCTCCCTTGAACGTAGCTAATTCATTGTATGACACTAGTGTAGTAGAAGAAGCCCAGTTAGAAGCCCAAGCAAAGTTTGAAGCCCAACAGAAAGCCCAGTTAAATACTATAGTAGATACCCAGTTAGTAGGTAGCACAAGTAAAACCCCAAGTCCACAATTAGGAGTAGTCACACGTAGCAAAGTTACAGATAGTTTTGAACATCAGTCGTTAGATTCTATATCTAAACCACGCATTAAAAAAATGGCAGTAACCATAAAGTTAGAAGACGCTTTCAAATTAATTCCAATATGCACAGGGATAGACGATAACTACCAATTCATAAATGCATGTGATATGGCAGTAGGTTTAGTCGACACAAACAGTGCACCAATATTAGTAAAATATATTACTACACGATTAACGGGTAGAGCATTAGAAATGATTAAATATAAAAACGTAACAAAATGGCAATTTATAAAAGCATTTTTAACAGATGCATTCGAAGTGACAACCAATGCATCGTCGTTACAACTTCAATTAAATTCGATTAGAATGAATCACAATGAGGATGTAAACGATTATTGCCATAGAGTAGAGAAACTATATTATCAGTTGTGTACCGTAAGCACATTAAACAAAGAGTCTGCAGAAGCAAAAATTATACATGAAACATTAAGGGACCAAACTCTAGCAGTATTTATTAAAGGATTAATAGAACCGATTAGAACGATAGTAAAATCTCGCAATGCTAAAACTCTGGAGATCGCGAAACAAATCACTATGTCAGAACAGGTAGAACTAAGATTAGAACAGGAAAATAGGAACCATTATTCGAGTAGTTATTCACAAAACAATAATCAACGTAGATCAAATTATGAAAATAGGCACAACAGGAACGTTAGACCAAATAACTTTGTAAGGCCAAATAATTTTGCACGAAATAATTATCCGCGAGCAAACAACTTCTCTCAACCGATTAATAGAAAACCAATAAAATGTTATAACTGAAATGGAAATCATTTTGCATCACATTGTAGAAATAATTCGAGACCTAACTACGCGAGCAACGGGAATAACAACCGTCCACCTAATAGAAATAATTTTACGCAACCGCCCAATTATAATACACAAACAGTTACGTGTTCATATTGCAATAAAAACGGTCATAATATAGATTCGTGTTATAAAAAGAGAAACGATGAAAGTAGAAATAATTCGGGAAACGCCAATGTATCGAACGAGGTACGCGGTACTCGCACGATAAACCAGATTATCGCGGAACAACCGACGAACGAATATTTCACATATTCGCAACACTAGAAAATAATCATATAACATTCAATTCTAATGCCGCAAAAACAAATCAGTTACATTTAATGATAGATACAGGTAGTCAGGTAAACATTCTCAAAATAAATTGCTTACGCGAAGAACTAGAAGTAGACGAAACACAAAAAATAAATCTGCGCGGTATAAATGAATGTCTTACAAAAACCATAGGGAAAATATCAATATTAATTAAATTAAATAGCCAAAACATTAAAACAGAATTTCATATCGTGAGTGCACGATTCCCAATACCCAAGGACGGAATATTAGGAAACGAGTTCTTGTCGAAAAATAACGCAATAGACGATGTAGCAAACAACAAATTAATTATTCAAACGACCTCGCATGCGCTAACAAATTTCAAAGAGACCGACAAAACCAGTTTTATTAAATTACTCATTTTATATAATACAAAATGAAACTATTGTAAGAATGCAGATAGCTGACCCGCTAATAGAAAGCAAGGAAATATTTATACATAAACAAGAACTAGTAAAAGACGTATATTGCAGTAGTACAGTGTCTATCGTTAATAATGGTAGGGCAATAGTTAGCATGTTGAATATCTCGGAAGAAACGAAAAATATATCTGAAATTGATTTAAATAAAATACTCTTTGATACCGAATACGAAATATATAATGTAGAATCGACAAATGATCATAATGAACGAAGTTGAACTTCATAAGTTAAAAAAGGATCAACCACCTATCTATCGTAGACCTTATAGATTACCACACGCCCAACAGGAGGAAATAAATTCACAAATTAAAAAAATGGAAGAAAATGGAATTATCGAGAAATCGAGAAGTCCATGGAATTCCCCACTATAATTAGTACAAAAGAAAATGGATAATTCAGGCAAACAAAAGTTTAGAGTAGTAGTAGACTTTAGGGCACTTAATGAAGCTACTTTAAATGAAGTTCACCCTTTACCAAATATTACAGAAATACTAGATCAACTAGGAAATAGTCAATTATTCTCTCTTTTAGATTTATCGAGTGGTTTTTACCAAATTTTGATGGAAAAGGACTCACGAGAGTTAACAGCCTTTTCGACTAACCAAGGTCACTGGCATTTCAAACGAATTATACAGGGAATGAAGACGAGTCCCGGAACTTTCCAAAGAGTTATGAATTCAGCTCTGGCAGGTTTAATAGGAATAAAATGCTTAGTATACTTAGATGATATAATAGTATATGGGAAATATTTATATGATCATAACGAAAAGTTAATAGAAGTTTTCGATCGTTTACGAATAAGCAACTTAAAATTACAACCAGATAAATGCAACTTCTTAAAAAGAGAATGTGTATATCTAGGACACGTTATTACGAAAGACGGAATAAAACCCGACGAACGTAAATTAAAAGCAGTAGTAGAATTTCCAATACCAACAACTGTAAAAAACATTAAATCATTTTTAGGATTAAGTGGCTATTATAGGAAATTCATAAATTCATATAGTGCAATAGCAAAACCATTAACCAATTTATTAAAGAAAGACACGAGTTTTGTATGGAGTAACGAATGTCAAAAGTCATTCGATACCTTGAAGGCAGCGTTATGCTCAGAACCAGTTCTTAAATATCCGGATTTCACAAAGACCTTCTTATTAACTACAGACGCGAGTAATAAAGCACTCGGGGCTATTTTATCTCAAGGAGAAATAGGTAAAGATTTGCCAATATGTTATGCGTCACGCACATTAAATAAAAGCGAAAGCAACTATTCAACAACAGAATTAGAATGTCTTGCAATAATATTCGGAGTAAAACAGTTTCGACCATATTTATACGGTAGGAAGTTTATAATACTTAGTGACCATCGTCCATTAACGTGGCTCTTTAATTTGAAACATCCATTATCAAAGTTAGCTAGATGGAGAATACAATTAGAGGAGTACGATTACGAAATACGTTACAAACCCGGAGTTTTAAATTCAAATGTAGATGCACTCACACGCATGTATTCTATTCAGGAAATAAAAAACGAATCATACGAAAAATTTCTCGAAAAATTAGAAACACAAATTATCACAAATAATAATGTAAAAGAAACTATAGGCACAGTAATAGATTCACCAAAAGAATATAATATAGTGTCAGAAATTGCCAAGCAATATAATTTTAGAACAGGAACAATTTATCAGTTAAAAAAACAATTTGGAAACGGTACAATTTTGCCGACTAGTAAAGTCATAGGGGACACACCATATTTCAAACATGAAAACCGGTTTATAATATTCTTAGTAACGAAAGACAAAGATCGACAGAAGGCCACTTACGAAAGCATGTATGTATCGCTAATAAATTTAAAACAATTTGTAAGGAAAACAATTTGAATAAATTAGCCATGGGCAAGTTAGGCGAACACGATGAATTAGAATGGGAAAAAATAAGGTCAATATTGCGATACATATTTCGCGAAACAAATATAGAAATAATTATATGTGCAAATGTAGAATATAGTGAAGAAGAAAAAGCAGTCATTTTATCACAATTTCACGACTCAAAACTAGGCGGACATTTAGGTGTGAATAAAACTACTAAACGTATAAGACAACAATTTATGTGGAGGGGAATGAAAGAAGATGTTAAAAAATATATAAGGAATTGTACGTCATGTCAGGTTAATAAGGTATCAAATCGGCACATAAAACAACCAATGGCTATTA